GGGGGGGGGGGGTAGCCAACAAGTAAAATCTAACATTTTGTTCTACCTCGGATGCGACTTAAATGGAGATGCAAGTTGTCATTCTACGCTAAAAATACATTTGAATAAATATTTTCATGTAACGCCAGTTTCTTCAAACAAATCCAAAGACCCAGAATTCACTCCAGCTTAAAATCCTCCTTTTATTAAAACACTTGAAGACAAACGTGTCCCTTTTCCAACAAGATGATTTTTAATGCACCAGTTTTGAATAAATGCTTTTAAAAATGTAAATATTCTCTCAGTTGCTCCAAATTCATTCTCATAACAGCAGAATCAAATCAACAGGCTTCCAAACGTCTAATATGAAGGATAGCATTTTGAATTTTAGGAATGAAAGATAATGAACCCGAACTTGGTGTAAACAAAAGTAAGTAAGTAAACAGTTGATCCCTGGTCCAAACCATTACATTATACTCTTATGTACAGGCCTTTACAGTTATTTACAAGGTGAGAATGAAGGGAGAAAGAAGAGTTGGCTGGAGTCGCAGCTCTTCTACAATAACCATGTTACGCCCAAAGGATGGACACGTTGAACGGATTCTTCTGATCTATAAACGATGCTACATCTGCTCTAACGTGATGGAGATGATCAGAAACAGCAGTCTGGAACTGCACGATGAGGAAAAATGAAACTACCACCGGAGAACAGAGACAAACCAATATTCAGCTGACATTTTTAGAATGTGTACATATGTACAAACATCACTATTATTATATTTGCATAAAGAGATCAATCAAGATTTCTAACGGAGGAGGAAAAAAATGACCACACTGGAATGTGTAAGTACAGAAACTGCTGTTTTTGTGCATAAAATCAGATTAGGAGGCTGAACCACGAACTTCCCCACGTCCAGAGATACCGTTACTCTCACTGCTCACAACACCGGATAAACAAAACCCAGTTCCATTTTAAGTAACACTTTCTACCCTGCCAAAGTTTTTTTATTTCATTAGTTTTTAATTAAACATCCCTGCTGATTACTGAGCAACAGCTATAAAAAAAGGCCTAGGCTGGAGAATTTAGCCCAACACAGAAACTTGGAAGAACTATTTTTACTCTTTGAATTTAAATTAATACATAAAGTGTTAATTGATGTTTAGTGTTGATTTGGGATGATTATATGTGAACTTTGATAGAAATCTGGAAGAATAAAGTTCAACTTGAATGTGACGCTCAAACCTAAAGGCACATGAAAATCTGCCAAAACGTTAGAAATCTTTTCCCTTCTTGTTATTTAGTTGTCTTCTCGGGTTAAATCCACATCATGAAGATCAAATATTAGAAACTAATATCAGGAGCTCCTCGTGTAAATGCATAACTTTGGTGGAAAGATTAATTACTGTAAAGTGCAGCGTCTGTACGCAGAACGTCTTTTATTTCAACGATATAAATTCTCTCCATGGCTCCACCTTCTTCTTGGTCAGGTTTGTTAAACGCAGCTGGTTTTTACAGGTACCCCCCGAGGCACAGGAGCAGCAGGACGTGCACAGTGAGCAGGTAGAGGCTGAGCAGCAGAGGGGTTCTCTGGCGGGAGCAGAAGGCCACTCGAAGCATCCGCGACAAACCCGGACCGCCTCTCCGAGTCTGCGAGGGCACAAACACAAGGTCGTGAGGGAGGTTTTTAAAAAGAAACCGTGGCGGGTGAAGAGGTGCGGAACAACAGCGAGGCCTCACCCGGGTCACGGCTCCTTCAGGCGGCTCGATGAAAACGGCCGTCTCCGAGTGATCGTCCTCATGTGCAGAGCGCCACGAAGCCGGGCCGTGACTGTGGATCAGGAGAATTTATGTTTGTCACGAGACAATTTCATCACAGAAAAAAAAAAAAAAAAACCTACAGTGGGCTACAGATCATTAAATTTACTTTTGTTTTGTAGCAAAATAGTTGGAGTTAGATCAATATGTTTATCTCGTAGCATTTAAAGTGCCTGTGACATCATATTTTTGTAAGAAATATGAATGTTTTTTTTTTGGAAAGGTAACTTTAATAACCTATTGCAAAACAAATTTCACACAGCTGAGATGAACAGTTRTTGAGATATTTACATATGAAGTAACAGGAAGTGATTCAAAGGGGAATGTCTGCATGTAAACAGAGCGTTGTTACAACAGCTAACACAGACTGTAAAGAAGAATCTGATTTCTTTAGAAAATTTTGAGTCGCTATCAAAACGAGATGAAAAGTTAAAGTTTAAATATTGTTTTAATAAACAAAGACCAGGAAGTTTATTTTATTATTGAGTTCCCCTTTGATGTCACTTCCTGTTTCACTTTAGCTGAGCCACATTCAAAAGAAAATAGGCCAGTTACGTGACAAAATGGGTAAAATCACATGCCAATTTTCTTCAGTATAAAGATGTTTTCTTTGATGTTTTGTATTTGGAGGACAGACGGTCACAGGCACTTTAAAGCATCAGTGTCTCAGTTACACCACCACCTTTGTTTTCTCCCGTTGTACCGTTTGAGTCGATCCTCCGTCGCCATCAGCTGCTCCTCGACAGCCAGCCTCTGCTGAGTTTCTTCCTCGAGTCTAATTCACAGAAGTTAAAATGAGTTTTAGTTTGAGCCAAAGGGTTTCAGTTTCTTGTTACGTCTGATCCAATCAGTACCTCCGCTGCAGCTCTTTGACCTCGGCCATAAAAGCGTGGCTGCTTCGCTCCTGCGGGGCTCCGGGAGCACTGTCCACTTCCTCGCCACTCTGTGGGGGGGGAGGGGGGGATGCTTCAAATGAACGTTTCTTCACACAGTTCGTCTTTTTATTAGCTGTTAATTAAAGCCCCACCTCTCCCTGAAAGCGTTCCTGTTGGAGTTTGGGTTTCTGGGCTCGAGCTTCTTCCAGCATGGCGGTGAGCTGCCGCAGTTGTTGGTCCTTCTCTGTGAGCGTGGCGAGCGTCTGCTGCTTCAGCTGCTCTGCTTGAGCCATCCAGTCGACGCGCTCCAGCCTGCAGCAGGAAACGAACACAACAACAGAATGTAAGATATGTGTGGTTAAAATAAATTAAATAAAAAGAAGCTAGTTTTAGTTTGAAGCTCCACCTTAGCGTCTCCATTTCCTGCTTGCCCGTTTCGACCACGTTCTCCAGCTGTGACAGGACGCCCAGCAGGTCTTCAGTCTTCCTCTTCTCCTCCAGCAGCTCCTGACTGACTTTAATCAGCTCTCCTGCTCCCAGTCGAGTCAGCTCCGACTTCTGCTTCTTCACCTCACTGTTCTGTGTTTTGATTTGCTCCAGCTGCATAAAAGCAGAAYGAAGGTGGGATCAAATAATTAAAATCAAATTAAAGTAACTTAAAAAGGATCAGATTTTTTAATGCTGGCTCACCAGTCTGTCCCGGTCGTTCTGCAGAGCTTGCAGAGCRTTCTTCAGGCTCCACACCTCTCCAGCGGAGCCTCCAGGACTGCCGTGTGCAGCCTGGCCCGCTGCCTTGCTCATCTGCTCCAGTTTCAGGTTTAATTCGTCGACCTTGCTGACCGCCTGATCCCTGGCATCCTGCAGCGAGGCCATGGCTTTGGCAAACGACTGCTTCTCTGCTCTCAGCTGCTTGGTGGTCTCCGTCTCCTCCAGCAGCCTCTGTTCGACAGTCAGCAGGTCTCGGGCCAGCTCCGCCACCCTCTCCTGGGCGCTCTCCGACTCRGTGCGCATCACGCCTCCCTCCCACCGCAGCATGGCCAGTTCTTTGCTCTGGTTCTCCTGCTCGTGTTGCTCCCTGCTCAGAGACTCCTCCAGAGCTTCCCTTTGAGCTCGCTCCTTCTGCAGCTGCTCCCTCAGCTTCTCCACCTCTGCGCCGGGAGCGTCCATCGCTCCCAGTCTGACGCTCGAGGCTTGGCTGAGCGTCTCGCTCTCCGCTCTCTGCACCTCCTCCTCCCTGGCTCTGCTCAGGCTCTTCAGCTGATCTTCCAGCTCCTGGCGWTCCCTCTCTAAAGACGCGACCTGCTCTCTCTGAGCCGCCAGCAGCTGTTTGTGCTGAGAGTCCTTCATGCTCAAAACGTGGTTGAGCTCGTCTCGGTAGCCGTGAAGCTGAGCGGACAGCTTGGCCTTTTCGGCGTAAAGGTCGTCCCTCTGGACCAGCAGAGAGCGCAGCTCCTCTTTCAGACCGTTGTTCTCTCCTGCTGCTTCTTGGATCAAACCATCCTTCTCCATCATCACCTGAGAACCAAAACAAATGGTAGAAAAGAAGCGAGCACACATTCCTCACGTGTTCAAAGCAACACGTTCATGTGTTACCTGTATGTGTCTCTCCTCCAGTTGTTTGTACATGCTGAGGACTCGGTCTCTGTCGTCCTGTAATGAACCCATAGCCTTCATGAAAGAGTCCAGCTTGGCTTTGCTGTTGTTGCTCTCTTCCTCTGCTTTCCGCCGTTTCTCGTCCAGATCCCTCACTTCTCCTCTCCTCTGCTCCAGCTCCTGCTCAGCTTCCTGCGCCCTGCTGTCAGCCTCTTTTCTGGCCTCTTCTGCAGCCTTAGTAAGAAAAGAGAAATGAATTTTTAAAACGATTTATTTTTGATGACATCTTCTATTTTGAGCAGGGGTGTAAAGATTCATAAAATTCGAGACGAAACAAGATTTTAATATTAGTTTCAAGAAAACTTTAAAGATCTATTTTATGCTGCAAAAATGCTTTTATTCTGTTTTAACATTTTTTTATTACAAACTTAACAGATATCTTCCTTTTTCTGATTTCTTGAATCTCCTTAGACCTTACAACTGTGCTCTAACTATGCATGGCCTTCCAACATCATAAGAAAATGACATTCATGCAGAACTTTCCAAAAACTGAACATAAATATAAAAATAAATAAGTAATTATTCCCTTTCTTTATGTCTTTACTTATTCTGACATTTAAACTAACCAAAAATTCAACATAAATAAAAACAAAATAAGTAATTTTTTTTTTCCTTTATCGTGGTTCCTACAGTTCAAGACAAGTTAAATTTAAGACTTTTTAAGACTTTTTAATGCCAAGGGAAATTAAATTTAAGATCAATTTCACAATAAAAACTGTGGCAGAAACTTATGAATCAAAGTATTTTTGGTTGAATTATTCAAATATTGCTAATAGACCAATTGTTTTTATCCATATCTAACTGCTTTTTCATCAAACATAGCAAAAACCTTATTAGCAGTCAGCTTTAAATTTAATTTATTTCCTGGAAATTCTCTAACGACCTAAAATTTGGAGTTTTAGGACCCACAGTGGGGTCTTAAGMCCAATTCACTGTAGATAAAACCTTAAAGTGCATGTGATTTAACATTTTTGTAAGAAATAATGCATTTTTGGAAAGACAACATTATTAACATATTAGAAAACAAATTTCACTTTGCTCAGTTGTTGAGATATTTGCATGTGAAATAACAGGAAGTGATGTCAAAGGATAAAAATGCCTGTGAATTTTTAAAAAAATAAATGTTACCTATTATTTTAATATTTGAAATGAATTGCAGTCATCCTATTTACAAAATGTTAACATTTTTAAGACTTCTGAAAGATTGATTTAAGACATTTTAAGGCTAATTAAGGCCTTATTTTTGGATTGATGAATTCAATGTTWTTTAAGACTTTTTAAGGATCTGCAGGAACCCTGTTTATGAACATCTATCAGATATCTCTCTGGGGCTATGGTCTGACCGCTTTAGGAAGAGGGAGGGGCTCATGGGGGGGCTCGCTGCTCGCGGAGGAAAGGAGGAGAAAAGGAGAAAAGTGTTTGGAAAGGGCTGTCGCCAAAGCTTCTAAAAGTCTCCAAAAACACCAGGAAAAGTCACTAAATTTGTCACTAGAGGGGTCTAAAAAGTTGCTAGATTTAGTGTCGCTAAGTTGGCAACACTGTTAGCGAGACAACAGTTACCTCTCAACGAGAGATATTGCAGGAGTTTAGTATGGCGAGATTTCGTACAAYGAGATCTCGTTACACCCCTAATTTTGAGTAAAAGAAATACCTGTGCGACAGCTTGCTCCTTCTCCTCCAGCAGCTCCACCTCCCTGCGCTCCTTCTCGTGCAGCTCCGTCTGCAGGCTCTCCGTCAGAGCTTTGGAGGAGCGCAGGTCCGTCTGCAGCTGCTCCACGTTCAGACACAGCCGCCTCTCCTCCGCCTCCCTCTCCCTCAGCTCGGTCCTGGCCTGGTTGACTTCGCCCTGCAGCTTCCCCACGGCCTCCTCCAGAGCCCGGACTCTTTGCTGCAGAYTCTCAGCCTCGTTCTTCAGGTTGTGGACTTGGTTCTGAGCCGACAGCAACTCGGCTGTGGTTTGCTCCAGCCTCAGCTTCTCCTGCTGCAAGGCGGCCTGGTGCTCTGCCACTTTCTTTTCCTCTTCCTCTAATCTCAGCTGCCAATCTGTGTCCGCTTTCTGTAATCTAGAAGCAAAAACAATTTTAGCTGATATATAAAGAGTTAAAGAGCTCGAGGAAACAGATTTTACCTGCTGACTGAAAGTTCCAGCTCCTCTTTCAGTGCAGTCTCTTTCTGAAGCTGATCAGAAAGTTCTCTGGCTCGTGTCTCCGCCTCCTGAACTTCAGCCTTTTTCCCCTGCAGAGTGCTGTTAAAGCGCGACTCCCACTGCCGGGCCTCGTCCAGAACTCTGTCCCGGTCGTCCTGCAGAGAGGACATGCTGCGAGAGAAGGCAGCCAGTCTGGCCAGAGACTGGTCCAGACGGGTCTGCGTCTCCTGGGCTCGTCTCTCTGCGGACTCTGCTGCGTTTCTGGCTTGGAGAGTAGCTTCCTCCTCCTTGTCTCTCTCTGTGTACGCCTCCTCCAGCCTCAGCTCCATCTCCTTCAGCTCAGCTCCCAGCCTGAACCTCACAGAGTCCAGAGTCTGCTCCGCCTCAGCTCTCAGTTTGGCCTCTCTCTGCTGGATGTTTTGCTCTGCAGCAGTTTTGGCAGCGAGGGCCTCGCTCGCCTGTTTCTGGGCTTCGGCTAGTTGAGATTTACAGGCGACCACCTCCGTTTCCGTCCTCCTCAGCTCCTCCAGAGTTCCAGAGCTCTGCAGTTGCGACTGTTCCAGTTTGCTGCGGAGCTCGTCCTGAGCCAGCCGCAGGCCTTTAGCCTCCCGGCCCAGCTCGCTGATCTTCTCCTGGTACTGGATGCTGTCCTTCTGCAGCTGCCGCACCTCCAGCTGCTTCTCCCTCAGCAGCTCCTCCAGCTGCCGTGTCCGGCTCTGGCTGCCTTCTCTCACCCTCTGGGCGGACCTCAGCTGCTGCTCCAGCTCCCTCTGCTTCCCGGACTCCGCCTCGGCCTCGGCCCGCTGCCGCCGGGCTTGCCTCAGGTCCTCCTCCAGCCCGGCGGCTCGCTCCCGCTCGCTCCGCGCCTCCGCTTCCAGCTCGGCCCGCTCCCTCCCCAGCCGCTCCGCCTCCCGCTGCAACTCGCCGAGGCGCTCCCGCTGATCCGTGGCCTCTTGCTGGTAGCTGGCGATGCTGCCGTTGAGCTGGGCCAGCTGGTTCATCAGGCGCTCCTCCAGGCTGTCTTTTTCACTTTCAAGAGTTCGCAGGAGCTCCTTGAACTGGGCTTCCCTCTTTGCAGCCTCTTCAATCAGAGCCTTTTCTCTCTCTTTGCTCTCCTGAAGGCACTTCTCCAAAGAGGCCAGAAGGCTCTCTTTGTTTCTGCTCTCCTGAAGATCACGTTCAAGGCAGGTTAGCTCAGCTTTCAGTTCAGCTTCTCGTTTCTGCCACACTTCTTTTTCCACATTAAGAGCCTCAATCTCCCTCATTTCTATATCCGATACGTTTTGAGCATTTTCTTTTATTTCTGCTTCTTTTTCTTCTGCAGATTGTAAATGTCTCGTTGCAGAGGCTGCGATTATTTGGTCCTCTTGAGGTTCTTCTGGGGTTAAGAGTTTTTCCTGKTCCTCAGGCTCTGCTGTAGTTCTGACTGCATGTGATTGCTGCACAGTAACAGCCTCCTCTGCAAAAGCTGCAGAGCCGTGTTGATTTTCAGACATTTCTCGATTCTTTTCCACCATTTGTTCAAGCTGATCCTTCAGCTCTTCGTTTTGTTGCCCCAGAGAGTCTTTTTCTGTAATCAAACCCTCCAGTTCTGCTTTCAGAGCTCCCACCTGCTCCTGAAGCCGTCCAACTTCAGCTCTGAGCTCCTTGTCRTCTCGTTTACCGGCAGACTTCTCCTCCGTCTCTCTGAGCCTCTCGTTCTCTTCCTCCAGCTCCAGGATCTTCTGCTGCTTCGTTTTGGCAAACTTCCTCATTTTGTCTTTCACTGCTTCCACCTCYTTCTGCGCCTCCTCCGCTCGGCTCACGGCCTCGAGCCTCGCAGCCTCGTGAGTCCTCACCTTGGCCGCCAGCTCCTGCCGCTCCTGCCGGGCGGCCTCCAGGACTTTCCTCACTCGCTCCGCCTCGTCGCTCACGTTCTCGTAAGACGTGAGCAGAGTCTCGTATTCGTCCTTCATCCCTTGAACCTTGTCCTCCCACTCTCTGCTCACCCTTGCGGCCTCCTCCTTTGCCAGCTCTGCTTCTCTCTTACAGGCGTTCTTCTCACTGATTATACCCTCCATGGCCAGCTTCAGGCTCTCGCAGGAGGATCCTAAGTTTTGGTTCTCCAGCAGCGCCCGGTCAACCTCTTCAATTAGTCGAACCTTTTCGGTTCTCAGATTCTCCAGCTCGATTTCTGATGAGTGGATTTTTTGCTGCAGCTCAGCCACAGTGCTCTCAGCTGAAGCCAGCTGCTCCTTCAGCGTTTTGTTTTCTTTCAGAGCGTCTTTGCGAGAAACCAAAGCGGCCTGAAGCTTWCGCTGAAGCTGCTGGATCTTTGCCTCGCTCTCTTCCTCGTGTTTCTCGGCCTCTAGCTTCTGCCTGTTTTCTCGCTCGGCCTTCAGCTCTTCCTGTAAAGACGCTAGAAGTTGATCTTTGTGAGACACGGCATCGTGCATCGAGCGCAGGAGCGAGTTTTGCTCACTGAGCTGCTGACTGAGCTCTGTTATCTCCGTGTTCTTATCGTCCAGAAACTGCTTGAAGTTTTCCACCTCAGCCTGAAGAGTGGTAATGGATGAGTCGGCGTACGTTTTGGCTGCAGCCTCCATTTCTGCTCTCAGAGTTTCTGCATAGGACTCAGCTTGGCGATGCTTCTCTCTGAGATCGTTCATTTCTTCGGAGAGGGTAGAAATCTGATTTTCCTTCACGCTCAGAGCTTGTAGCTCTTTGTTCAGCTCCAGTAACTGGGACTCTTTCAGCGACAGACTTGAATGTGTTTCCATTAGCTGCTTCTCTAGTTCGGTGTTTCTCAGTCGCAGAGTCTCAATTTCCTCCCTAAGAGCTCTCAGAGATTCCTCCGGTTCTGCTGAGAGGACAGACGGTTCTGGATCCTTGGATTGCTGCTGCGATGAATCAGTTTCTGTTGAAACAAAGTCCACCCAGTCCTCTTGGACCCAGTCATTTGCAGCAGTGTTTCCAGTCTTGGTTTCAGGCAGGTCTTTCCCAGCTGTCTCCTCTAGTTCTCTCAGTTTTGTGAGGAGAGCTTCTCGCTCGCCGCCCTGCGCCTCGAAGCGTTCCATCAGCTCGTTGTACTCCTCTTTCTGCTGCTTCATTTGCTCTCGATGGTGTCGGTCCTTCTCCTTGGCTTTGCGGATCGTTTCTTTGCGCGACTCTTGGGCCTCTTGAACCTTCTTCTGGAGCGCTTCACACTCCGCCTCCAGAGCGGCGACTTGGGATTGCAACGCAGTCGTTTCTGAGGACGCATCGGCCTGACGAGAGTTTTCTGCTTCCTCACTTAGTGTTTTATTCAGAGCRGCTGTTTCAGTCAGAACTTGATCCTGATGGTTGATTCTTTGCTCAAGACTCTCAATCGTTTCTTCTTTGGACTTTAAAGCTTCTKTAAGCTCCAGAAGTTTGGCCTCCATCTCTTCATCAACAAGTTTAGTTTTTTCTTGAACCTTTTCCGGAATATCGCTCATCGTTGTTTCATCTTGTTCTTTTACCTCATGAGCCTTCTTCTCAAACTCACTGACCTTCTTCATGAGCTCTCTGCGCTGCAYGAGCGCCGCCTGCAGCTTCTTCTTCGTGTTCGTCAGCTGAGCTTCCAGGTCTTCCTTTTCTTTTCTTAAACCAACGAGCTCATTGTCGACGTGAGCGTCTGCTTCAGTGTGTGTTTTATCGTCTCTGACCTTCTCCAGTTCTTCAATCTGCTCCTTCAGTTTACCCACTTCGACCTTRATGTGAAACTTCTCTTCCTCTGCTTGCAGGAGTTTGGCAGACATACTGTCACTGAGCTCMGTCACCTCCTGCTCTTTCTGGCTGAGACGAAGCTGCAACTCACTGTTGAGCTCTGAAGCCTGGGAGTGCTCCAACATGCTGCTTTCTGTATCTTGTAGCCTTTTCTCCAGCTCAGAGCAGAGCAGCTCTCTGTCCTCCAGCTGAGCACTCAGCATCCTGGCCTCACTCTGCTGCTCGAACAGAGACCGCTGCATAGCTTTGTTGTCACTGTTTAAAATATCAATCTGTTCTTCTAGAAGCTGCATTTCCACATTACGTTTCTGCGCCTGCTGGGCACGGTCCTCCAGCTCCTCTCTGGCGGACTCCAGCTCTTTAGCAAAGTTATCGGCCCGAGCCTGAGCCTCCTCTTTGGCGGCAGCGAGGGACCGTGTTTCCTCCTCCAGACTTTTGATTTTCTCCTGCGACTCCGCAGCTGCATCTTGGAGTCTCTGCAGCTCAGCCAGGAGCTCRCTGTATCTCTTCTGCAGCTCCTCAGCTAAGGCCTGAGCAAACAGGTGTGAGGACATGCTGACGTCCGTGGAGGAGGAACTCGGTTCAGTCAGGTGGACCTGAACCGTCTCTCTGATGACGACTGACGAGGACTCGGACAGGACTGTGGAGACTTCCTGCTCCATGCTCGTTGTCACCCACGACTGGCCGAAGTCCTGCGGGACGACGGGCCACTCCTGACCCCCGTCTTGATTCACAGCTTCCAGGAGGGTCCAGCTGCTCTGGACCACCTCCGAGTCGCTGCTGGTAACCATCTCATCCGAGGACGCTGCTTTGAGTTCTTCGGGAGACTCAGACTGGTGTCCGATTAGTTCTGGGCTGCTGTCGTTATCAGCAGGAACAGAGAGGACAGAGAGGGCAGAGGTGTCTGCAGCAACTAAGGAGGTTTCTTCTTCTTGTGCATCTTCTATGAAATCAGACAGAGCAGCAGAACCTGGAGGCGGAGCAGGAACAGCTTCCTGATTTGAGCTCTGAACATCGTTTTCAGCTGCTTCCTCTGAGCTTTGTGCTGCAGGTCTGAGGGACTCTCGTAGGGCAGCCAGCTCGTTGTCCTTTTCTAACAGCTGCTGCTCCAACTTCAGTATGTGAGCTGCAGAATTCAACAAAGATAGTAAATCTTTTTTTTCTGCATGCACAGGAAATAGATCTAAACATCAACAAAATATTCAAGTTTAACCCAAACTAACAGATTTGGACATATTAAACATGTGCTCAAAGTTTCTTAAACAATCAAGTGTAAAATCATTTTCTGTTTGTAAACCAAAGATGAGTGAAAAGTTCTCAAATACAAACTTTCAAAACCAAAATGACAAATAAATGATTAATTTTTATTTAAACATTTGAGCAAATTGTGCATTTATTCCCAGTGCATTTCAATTAATTAATTTAATTTTGTCAAAACTACTTTGTTATAGATATTTAGTCTTATTTCACTAATACGGTGGTCAACATATAATCTAATATTCTTATTATACCTTTTTCAGCCTCAGATGAGTCCTGGAATGGTTCAGCAACATCCTGTCTGTCTGAAACCTATGAGGAAAAAAATTTATAAAATTTAATTTATCATACAGAATTGCATTTAGTAATGTGTAAAAAAAACAACACTTTTTTAAAAGTATTTAATTAGCCAGGCAACTTTAATACTTCATAGACAAGTCTAAATAAAATACAACTTAATTAAAAAATAAATAAAGACAGCTAAAATAAAAAGCAGCATTGGAACAAAACCTGAAAAAATTTAATATGATAAAAAGAAACTTGAGTTTTTCTTAAGAGCTAAACAATAAAACGTGACATTAAAAGCTTYGTCTGATCACTCCCTTTGTTTAAATCTGTCAGCTGCGTGTCTGCAGGTGAAGGTCAGAACAGAAGGGATTAGAGCGAAGTCTTTCTCCAGAGTGGACGCACCGYCTCCTGGACGACAGCAGACAGACGGCGTCCTGTCTGTCCTGTATCAGACTGAAAGCTGTGACCCTGAACCACATGTGGAGGATAAACCCGGCAGTCCGCYCTGCCCTCAGAATAAACAGGACAAAACGCTGTTATCTTATTTTATAAAGTAATTTAGCTTCATGTATCAGAGCTTTAACTGAGCCTCCRCTGCATAATCATAAAAACAAAGATGGTAAAATAAAATCTCTGTATAAAGTTGATTAACTATTAAATTTGAGCTTTAGTGCTCAACCTACATTAAGATTATGTTGCAAGATTAAATAATAAGATAATAATAATAAGATTAAATATAAGTAGCAGTTTAAACTTCCTTTACTTATTCTATTTTATGTTCTTATTTATAAGAAGCTTGTATCTGATTATATCTGCAGAAAAACAAATCAGGTGTAAATGAAAAGGTAAATAAATTAAAACTAACAGCTAAAAAACAGTTTGTTAAAATAGCAAAAGTAAAAAAACAAAAACAACTAAAAACTGCTTATTATTTTAGGTTATGTAGATTTTTTACAGTCTGCCAGCTCAAACAAAGTAAACTGCACAGCATCCAGACAGAAAGAGGGTGACATGAGTGCTCATTAGGAGCGGTTATAAATCTGAACGCCTGCCATTTGGATGTGTTTTYGTTTTGTTTTTTATTTTTGTTGGCAGGAAAAACAGCAGCTGTGGGTCTGACCCAGTTTAAAAACTGCTTTCTTGTACGTTTCCAGCTGCGATAAAGGAACAGAACCAGGAAAGAAATGTGGATAAAGTCACTGTTAAAAAGGTTTTGAATGCAGCCCGAGTACTGACCGTTAGAACCTGCTGCTCCAGCTGCTGGATCTTGGCTGTGGCCTCTTCTTGTTCTGTTGTTTTTCTGTCCAGTTGTTCTGGAAATCAGATTCATCACATGGATCAGTACAGTTATAGACAAACTTTAGGTTTGACGRCAGCTTAAAGTTAAAGGTTCCTACCCTGAAGGGTTTCCATGGTCTGGGGGAGCTGGGTGCCCTGTTCACGTCTTTCACAACATTCATCTTTCAGCTTTGCAAGGTGCGTCTCAACAGACTGAATCGTTTCCAGGAGCAGAGCCRGGTCAGCAGGGTTGGAGGTTTCCTCTGGCAGGGTTTCCAGAGAACAGACGTGTCTCCAAACTTGGGCTAAATTCTCGCCTTCACGCTGCGCGCTCTCCCTCTCCTCCCTGAGCAAAACCAGCTCTTTCTCTAGTTTTTCAACCTCGGACTTCTCTCTTTCTAACGTGTCCTGCTGGGCCCGGACAGCTGCGCACTCTGCTTCTCTCACCGACGCAAGCTCACTTTCAAGCTGAGCCATCTCTGCCTTGAATCTCTCAGAAGCATCTTTATGCGTTTGGATCGCTGCGAGCTCGGCTTCTTTCATCCGAGCCAGTTCTGCCTCCAATCTGGCCACTTCGCCCTTCATCTCCTGGTTGACGCGCTCTGCCTCTGTTAAGGAGGCCAGCTCGCTTTGCCGCGTCGCCTCCTCCGTTCGGTCTTTTTCCAGGGCTTCCAGGCTGGCTCTGAGTGCTGCGAGTTCTGCATCSGCCCTGCCGGTCTGCTCGGCCCACTGCCGCCTTTCCTCGTCCCTCAGCTTGACGGCCTCCATCAGGTCCTGCTCCATCTGCCGGAACTGAGCAGTCAATATCTGAGCAAGAAAAAAAAAAAACACAAAGAGAACATGTGTGGGTGTGTTTGGTGAAGAACATAGACGTGGCACATCAGACAAAAAGGGTGTGTTGTGTTTGAACATTTTCTTTTCAGCGGAGGTGAATGCAAATATCAAACAATACGTAGAAGAATCTCAAACAAAAACAGCATAAGAAGCTGCAGGACAGGCATGCAGAAAAACAGGATCCGTACCTGTTTTTGCTGATCGGCGCTGCTCACTTCCTGCTGCAACATTTCCAGCTCCTGGGATCGGGAGCTCAAGGCTTCTTGAAGTTCTTCACATTGTCGCTGCGCTGCCTGCAGAGCCTGGTATCAAACACGAGAAGTGGTTTTTCACAGCATGCACACAAAAATAAGCTTTGATTTTCAAAAAGTGCTCACTAATAATCCAGTTGCACAGCTTGCTGTTTTTCTTCTGATATTTTACAAACCACATTCTTTTTTTTTTTTAGGTCAGCAACATGACGAGTTTAAAGATCTGTTTGCAGAAAAGCAGCAGAAAAGAAAAAAAAACATTTAAAATCCTTTTCGGCCTGCTTTACAGCTGGTATTTTTAGCTGCAGTAATTGGAACAAATCACTGCTGATTGCGAGTCACCTTCAGCTAATCCAGTCCGGCACTAGCCATGACTTTTTTCCACTGCGTTTCTCTGACAGCTTGTTGAGAAAGGAGAGTAAAGCTCCTAAAGGATTGTTTGTGTTGATATGAATAATGCATACTTCTTCTGTTGCACAAAATGCACCAGAAGAATCTGTTACAGGAGCTGTCTGACCTATCAGCTGATATTCTGAACATTTACTGAGGCAAACTCTTAGTAACGAGTCTAGAATAAAACATTTCTATTGGCCTATAGGCTTTGATGACTATAAATAAGGAAATGATCAATTAAAGGACCAAACATCTGTGATAAATCCTAGAATACCTGCTGCAGCTCGCCGTCACTCTGAGTCTGAGTGGTAATCCTCAGCAGCTCTTCTTCATGCTTCTGAATCTGTTCCTGGAAACGAACATCCTTCTCACACACCACAGCTTGCAGCAGCTGCAGCTGCAAAAACAAAACAAGGTATCAACCCAGCCACTTGAAGCGAGCACTCCTGATGTTAAAACAATAGTTGAGGACTTTTGAATCACCTGTTCRGTGTGGGCGGACTCCTTCTCTCGAAGCTGCTGCTCTGTAGCCTGAAGTTGCTCCTTGAGAATCTTGTTGTTGGCCTCCTCTTCACTCAGCTTGTTCTTCAGCTCCTGGAGCTCCTCCTCGACTGCAGCTCCTGTAAACGAGCTGTCTGGGCTCTGGTGCAAACAAACAGAAGTTCAATAAGACAAAAAACATCTTTACTGTTCTGGTTAACCAGTGAGCACCGCTTAAAATGTTACTGAATAAATACAAATGTAAAAAAGACTCACTGTTGCTCCTCCTTGTCCTTTCAGTTGTGTTATCTGTTTGTTGAGTGAAGCCATCTTGGCTTTAGCTTGGAGTTTGAGCTTAGTGAAGCGGGCCTCAGCTTCTTCTCTTTCATTCTGTGCACACGAAGCAAAACAACCTCCAGCTGTGCACGCAGTCTTAACGAGAGCAGACTGGTTGGACACGAACAAGAAGGGTTTGTTTACCTTGAGCTGTGCATCTTTGTTGGTCAGCTCCACGTCCTTCTGCGTGAGCTGTGCGTCTCTGTCTCGGATGAGCTCTTTAAGCTGGACCACCAGTGCTTCAAAGTGAGCCAGTCTCTCCATGGCGTCCTCRGGAACCTCGTAATCCACCGGAGCTGGGCCCTCGCCGGGAGGGAGCTCTGGCACCAGCGTACCCTATAAGACAATGATTACACTCAGACAAAAAGTATTTAAAGTACGACAAGAATTAATAAAACAAACGGACGTATTTAAATAARATTTGATTTGGAGGCACCTGTTGGTTTCCATCTGCACCCTCTTCTCCAGAAAGCTCCTGGAGGACTGTGGCCAGACGGCTCAACATAAAGACAGGACTGGGAGGAAAAGGGGACAAAAAAAAAGCCACTTTTTATTTAGTTTTCTGCAGAAGAGAATGCATCTATTGTTACCCATGAAATAAGTCCATAATTCAGAGTTTGAGTTGTTAGAATTATAAAACAAACACTCAAGTTCTGTGAAACTGTGACAATAAACACAACCTAAAGCTTTTTTGTTTTATTTTGTATGCACATGCAAGCAGAAGCAAATAAGCTTCATTTTAGCAGGACTGAACTTTAATCTCCAAATATTTGTTCTGCTGTAGTGTGACTGAGAACAAGAAAATACAGTAAAACTTTTGTGAGATCTTCAAAGGTTTGTATTTTATCTTGTTTTTCCACATCAACTCTTATTTATTGTCAGTTTAGAAGTCATTTGTWAAACAACTTTAAAGCTTTGCTTTCTTTTCTACCATATTAAGTGTAACAGCATTAGCTGGAAGAAAAATTTGTCATCTTCAGGATTCATTTATTTATTGTCATATTCAGGTTAACAAGAGTCAACAATGCAATGAAATTCTTAGGATGAGAAGAAATCCTTCGACTCGCTATRAAGAATAAAAATAAAGACAATACAGAATACAAAACTCAGTTTGCAGTTAATGCACAAAGAGTAAATAAACAAAAAYCTAGGGTAATAATCTTGAATAYAAGTAAAAATGTAGGGACCTTGTGCATATTTATAGCATTTTAGAATAATTCCTCAGTCAACTTACTAAAGTTTTATTCAATAATTGTAAATCAAAAACAGCATTTAAAAAATGCTGTTTTAAATGCCTTTCTGTTTAAAAAAAATCAACAAAGAAGCCTTAAACCTAAATAAACCTAAAGAATATTGTCTCTAGTCAGATGTACATAATACAGTTTATTTCAACRCGTTATGAGACGCTCCCTTTCCTGGTGGTCCGGGTTTGGCCGGATGGAGCCGAGTCTTTCCGAACCCGCTGGACMCTCCACTGCGGCTGCGTCAGTCTTTTAGTGGGCAGAAAAGATTATGGCTAGCTAACGCAAAATGTCCTGTAAACTTCTCGAGCTGCTGGACGTTCCTGTCTGTAAAACGCAGTAAAGTAAAGATGGAGAGACGGTGGCGCGGACGGGACGCTTGGTGAAAAACACTCGCTGTTCACGGGGACTTGCCGTTTCCAGGATGCAGTGTTAGCCAAAGCTACTTTAGCTAGCTGGCGATGTTAAATAAGGACAGCGTCTTCGAGCCTCGCCAAGTTTTTTCCTCTCCTGCTACATGACAACAGTTTTCCGCTGCGCAGTCAGCACTGTAACTTTAAAAGCAGACGCTCTGGACTCACCTGTGTACGCTTTCCTCAGGTAAACACGTCTGCTTTTATTTTTCTTTATTTCCTCGGATGGATTTCAGAGCCACATCACCAAACACTCCCGGAAACAAAACTTTCTCTGCTCTGATTGGACAGCCGGGATCAGCAAGGGACCGTCTGCAAATTTAAAGGCGTCTACTCCCATATAGGGAAGATCTGGGTAAATAAACCAGCTTTTAAAAAACGAAAAATGACCATCTGATTCATATATAAAATATTGGATGTTGTAACTCTTGAAGATAATTGTAATAATGGCAGGACATGAGCAAAGAGTCAAACTGATCATCAACCATGGCAAGCAGCTGGGGAGGAGTCTGCTCCTTCTGGCCCACTATGCCACAGTTTTTGTGGAGTTTGTGGGGCGCTTTACCCAGTGGATGGTGGATGCTGTGAAGTGGACCAGCATGTTTGCACGCTACACCACCTCAGCTTTTGACTTCATCCACCAGCATCTGCACTGGGGGAAGAGGAGGGCCATCAACGCTGGCACCATGGAGATCTGCCCAAGTCCTGACATGGAGCCACAGTGACTTCCAGTGATTTAAGTTTTTTTTTTTTTTTGTGACAGTAATGGAAGTACAAACTGAAGAAGGAAATGAGGCCTTACTGTAGTCAGAAAAATACATTTAAAGCTCTAAAAATGTCGTTATTTTTTGCTCGATACATAATGTGTAACAGCTCCTGCAAAATGTTGTGAAATTTAACGTGTTGTTGCCAAATTATGTCGTTTCTGCTGACTGTTAATAGAGGTCTGACAGGGCATTGCAAACTAAAGTCTAATATTTTTTTCTAATATTGTTGCACTACAGGAGAGACACATTCTCCCTGATAAATGGATTTTATTGTGATATCTACTGAATTTTGGTAAACACTAACTTGGTAACTAGTTATATGTGAACATGCACTTCATTTTGTTTTTGACTTGTCTAACAC